CCGCCCCGCTCCTGGGCCCCCCTCCACTTTCCTGCCGATTGGCCAGGGAGCTCTGTAAGTAAGGCATTTCCCCTAATAAATATATCCTAAGCATTACCTGATTACATAGTGGTAATTAGCATCAATAGAGGTGGTCTGGGGGAGACTGGGGGAGGGGAGGGAGGGGAAACTGCGCTTGGATGTAATATATGAGAGAAGAATAAAACCAAGAAACTAAAGGGATATACCAGTAAGACAAAGTAGAAAATTTACCATAAAGCTGGTTCATAAATTTGAATTTAAAAATAGATCATGCTTCAGATTAGGCTAGATACAGTGACCCATTTCTGGAACTTAAGACAAATTGCTACAGATCACTTCACATTAATTCATCGTCATCACAAGGCTTGACATCTGTAATGCACTGGCACTATTTTGAAATGACAAAATATGTGAGACTCAGAATCTTCCAATATTTATGCAAAGTGTTTGCCTTCTCAAACTACAAATGACAAAATGTGAGACTATAGCCTTGCTCAGATTATGCTAAATGGATTCCTTTTTCTTACTTGGGTTCATTTACAAGACTGCTGGAACTGCTTCAGCAGTAAACATAAATACTATCTGCTGAAGATCACAATTTTTATAATTAGGTTACATATTCAAGTATGAACGTTTAAGCATTCTTCAACCAAAAGTAAAAGGCATCAACTTTTATGTTATATATAAACAGTATATATAACATTATGTTATATACATACAAACTGGTATGTCCATAAGAACATAACTCTGGCTTGAAATCACAAGACAAATTTGAACTTAATACATACTTATCAACTATTATTGACTGAATAAATTAGGGCATACACATAGAAAACTGCTAAGTATCACTAAAAGTTACAAAATCTAGTATATGCATAGAATAAAATAGCTTTAAATTAGAATAAAATCCTGACACATAGTGGTATGAATTCTGATTGCATCATGTTAAGTGTGATAAGCCAGGCATAATAAGACAACTAGTGATACAAAATAGAAAGTTTTGTAGACACAAATACAGAGTGTCCTGGGGCCTGAAGGGTAGGAAGAATGATGGATGCCCAGAGTCTGTTTAGGATGATGAAAAACATCTGAAAATGGATAGCATGGTGTTTGTAGAATATTAGAAGTTAAAAATGGTAAATTGATGTGTTATATGATTTTAAATTTTATATGATTAAAATTACTACAGTAATTTTAAGATACATAAAACTTGTACACAATATTTATACTCTAGCTTCCTATATGTGTGTACACTGTCATATTTTTAAAACTTATAAAATATATTATAAAATTTTAATTTATCTCATGAGTGTGGATATTATAAAAACTTTTTAAAAACTTACACTAAGTTTTTGTGCTTATACAATGATCACATTTTTGCTGGAAACCAAAAGATTTAGAGGGAATGTAAAGAAAGTGACAGCTGAGGGTGTCCTCTTGAGTTTTCCATCTTCTTAATTTTTCCTTCTTAATCACATCTGTCTGAACCAACAGCAGCTATGCCAGCTAGTTCCAGCCTCCTCACAGTCCAGATTAGAATTTTAATGCACTTCTATTTATTCTAGGTGATTTGTATCTCCTTAGACTGTTTGGCAGATAAACATAATTTATCATTGTTTCCTTCACTTGACAATGACAAATAAACTACTGCAGATAGCAATATTAAGAATAAATTACAAGTAAAGGAAATATAAATTTTTCTGATGATAAATGATTTGTGTCTCAAAGTGGACTGTAACAGTCAACTTCTGGCAATGTTCGTCAACACATTTATCAGCACAGTATTCTGAGTATGAATCCTTTAGTCATGAAAACTCCATGAACATTTTCCCTTGGATATACATAGCTGGGCACAGTTAAATTGGTTGCAGGTAATATGCTGATTTAAATCCCGGACTTTGTTTTGTATGTGTGCCTGTTCACATGAAAGATTGGTATAAGACATAGAAATCAATAGGGATTTAGACAAGGAGAAGAAAGCTTATCTCACCAGAGAAGACTTCGTGGAAGAGTGAGAAGCAGCTGTGAACACACTTCAAGATCTGGCAGGATGGTTCACCAGGCCTGCTGTGAGGAGGCATGCATAGGAATGAATTCATGTTTGGTTGGGTGTGGGCTACTTTGAGAGGGTTAGTGAGCTGGATGAAGAGCTATCACTATGAGGGGAGGTATTATTTATCATAAATACTGAAGAGAGTGGAGTATTGCAGAACTCTATCCATTAAGATACCACTAGTATATTCAAAGTAGCGTTTTGTGGTTGTTTGAGAGACAGGGTCTCATATTTTAGCCCAGAATTCCAATAGAACAACGTTTTCCCTACTCATTCTCAGTGGAGGCACTGAGTAAACACAAATGACATTTCTTCCTCTGTGTTTTTTTCCCATCTTTCATTATTTCAACTTAAGGCTATTTTAATTGTATCTATTAGCAACAATAAAACACCACAACATATTCTTTTGTCATGAGATGTCAACTTCGAGACCTCCCAATTTGCCCCTGCTAAGGTTCTGATAACACTGCCTGCCAAGCCAGTGTTCATGTGGTTGGAAAGCAGTAGACTGACTTCAATTCTGTCTTGTCAAACATACAGGAGCACCCACAGCTTGTTTAGTGCTTAGTTCTGTGAAGCCTTCTATTCCCCATTCCTTCTTCAGTTCTGAACACCAGCTAAGTAACTCTCTTTTTCTCCCAAGAAACTTGTAAAGTAAGGAAATACAGTGATAAATCAATCCTAGTCACAGCACCATATTTGTGTGTATGCTCATTCATGTGTGTGTGCATATGTGCTGTGCATGTGTGTGTGTTTTCTCCCCAGAAACTTGCAAAATAAATAGTGATAAATCAATCCTAGTCACAGCACCATTTATGTGTGTTTGTGTGTGTGAGTGTGAATGTGTGTGTGAATTTGACTGTGAGTGTGTGTGTGTGTGTGAATGTGTGTGTGTTTCTAGTTAGAGCTTTAAATTTATAAATAATCCTCAAAAATTGTGTAAACATAAGGTCCATATCTGGCGTTCCTTATCCTTATCCATATCTGGAGTCCTGTCCTCATTTGTACCACAATGAAAATCCCATCTTTAAGTGGTTTTCTTCCCTATAAGGTGCCTTTACCTCCAGCCTGTCACCTAGTGGATTAGTCTCCCGTGAAAACATTGGCAGGCATCCCACCAGCTCACCAAGCACAAGCCCCTTTATCCTGAACCAATTTCTTGCTAGATAATTGACTTCCTTCAGAAACAAAACAGCAGAGCTTTAGACTTTTTAACCACCCATGGGATATTCTCAGGCATTTCTCTCATAACCAAAACGCACAGTGCTTAACAGTATAGAAACTGTTTTTGTTCCCGCAGGATCAAGTGATCATTATATAACTGGACTATGATTTAGAATACATGAGTTAAGTTTTTAAAAAATAATTATTTGTATCTATCGTTAGTTATTTTTCAGAGAAAAAAAACCTGATTGATTCATTAAGTATTTTTAAATTGGAAAGGTCATGGAAGTGAGGAATTACTCCCCCCTTCATCTTATTCTTTGTTTCCTTTACTAGAAATTCTAGTAAAATTCTAGAACCTCAAGTGTTTAATGCCTGAAATACAAACCCTGACAATAAACAGAAATGCCCCTCAGTTCCTGAAAAATGCCCCCGACAGTTTGTGGAGTGGGCCATTTTGTGGTGGGCATCCCCTCCCTCTATCCACATACTGAAGGTGAAGACAAAGGAACAAATTGAGAATTTCTCAAAAGAGGATTTGTGATTACAAAAGTAATACCAGTGCACACTAGAATTAGCCTGACTTCAGAGAATCGGAGACAATGGGAAGGGAAAACAAGCAAAGGTGTCATTTTAGCTTAAATTCTGGCCTCCTTTTCATTGCTTTACCTTTCTTTACTGAATGAAATGGCATGGCTGTTGAGTCAAACTGCCTTTTCAATTTCAAGTGTCGGGATGGCAGGTCTGATAAATTAAATGGAATGTTGCCTCCCGGACTCCCCACAATCTGGCTTACTGCAATTGCTCTGATGGCGAGGCACACCACATTTGCGTACCCCAACAGCCATCTTAATTGCTTCTCACCATATTCAGATGTATGTTACCAGGTGACAACAAGAATAAGGACTTGAGCCAGGGGTGGGGAGCAGCGGAGGTTCAGAATGGGAGGAATGTATAGTCAAGAAGACAAACCTGGGATGACCAAATAATCCAAGTCTGGGATTGGGCAGACCCCTGGCTTTCTCTCTGCCAATGGGAAAGCCCCAGTTTGTTGTTATTGAGGAATCTTAGGGCAAGCACACTACTTTTTTTTTTTTTTTTGAATGGTTGCCCTAAACTCTCATAGCTAATTTTCTTAAACCCCAACAAGGTAGAATTTTTGTAAGGGAACTGGCTAAACTGCTATGTCCAGTGTTCCTCTACCTATGTCTGTACAGAGAGAACTGCCTGCATAGCCCAAGATAAGTCTGTTTTCCCACTCAAGCCTTTGTGAATAACCAACCAGAGTGACTGCAAGAAGGCAAGAAAGGCAGTTAGATAAAACCATGTTGGTCCTGAGCTGAAAGCAGGGCATTTTATTCCATGTGTCTGGGGAAAGTACACCGGTGATGGTATGTTAAGGGAATACCCAATAAGGAACCCTGAGAGAGGCAATGCCCATTTTGGGTTCTTGATGAAGTCAGGCACGGAACTGAAGGAGGATAAGGTATGATGAGTTGACCTGTGAGTAGATACAGCATCTCTGAAAAATCAATGAACCGATTGGCAGACAAGATGGAAACAAGTGCAGTCCACACCAAGGAGAACTCAGGAGAGGAGCGAAGTTTTCCCTCCCTCCGCCAGGAGGGAATCCCAAAGGCACAGTATTGAAGCAAGCAGGTGTTATGACATTGAGATGAATGAAGAAACACCGTGATACCAAGGATGGCAGAGAACCAAAGAGGACATACAGAGAGGCAAGATTCCTGATGACTTCCCCAAGTGCTTCCAAGGACAAGATGCTCCCAAGCCAGGGAATGATCAGATGGAGGCGGAAGACACAAAGGTAAAACAGGCACTCAGAATGTTTAACATTTCGAACCATCCTCAGTGTCTAAACCAATATGCTACGGAAATGATTGATGACCTTTAAGAGCTGAAGGGTGAAAGCCCCTTTGTTTGCCAGGGAACATCCCTCCTCCCATCTCCAATGCAAGGCTGATCAACCTTTCACTCCCTTACTCCTTTTCCCACTGCAGAATGCATCAGGGTGATGCCTTCT